GTTGATTATTAAAAATATTACATTACTTCGTTTAGTTCATTTTCATATCCAGACTATGAAGATAATCTTGGTAAATGTTTCCATAGCAAAGAAAAATATCTTCAGAGCAACAAATAGAAAATGTTCATTATTGTTCTTTGCTTTTAAATTGACTATACTGAAAAATAAATAAATAAATAGACTCTACTAGAGAACTGTAAATGAGATAAAGGCAAGAAATATCATTTTATTGATTTTTGATTTTATAATCAAATCTTGGCATCTTTTCACTAGACATCTGAGTACTTTCTTGGGTTATTTTTTGTTCAGTTGTCATATCTTGTTTGTGTCCATAGCCAAGACATTATTTCTTGGATGTACAATTCCCAAAGCAATTGTTACCAATGACATTTACTGACTCAATTAATGTAAAGCTTGGGAAAATTTTATGAAGCTGTATCAGAGTTTTGAAGCCAGTGAGAACTGGTTTATAATATTTGCACTATTTAAAAGCCCAGCATAAAAATTTGGTAGAAGGCACCATATTCTGTAATTTCAAACTCAGTATTTTCTTATATTTGAAAATTCTAAAGGAAACTCAAAAAACAGTCACTACAAAAGTCAACATGAAGCGATTTTAAAATATAAGTGACTCTCATCACTGTAGTGAAAACTTACTCATCTTTGATTTGATCCAATCATCTTTACAGCATAACTGAATAAAGGTTGTAAAAATATGCATACCACAAGTTAGAGTGTGTGTGTTGTTGTGGTGATGGTGATAATTGTGGAATGAATGAATGAATAACCATCTATTTTAGTTTACAGTTATCCTCACTGAGGCATTAAGTTGCCATCAATGATATTTTGATGTGGTAATCTGGGGAATTCTTGCAGCTATTGCTTTTCGATCAGCTGTTCAAAGTCCAATTTGGTGGTTTCTCAGTAGTCATTGGAAGTGTATTCTTTAGGAACGCAGAAGACAGCAACAGGAGTTCCTTTTCATGTTCCTGATATATTTTTGAATTGGTCTGAAGCATTTCTGGTCCCAGACCCATCATTTAGAGGAGTACGAACAAGGTCAATTTGGGCAGCATTCTGCCTGAAGTAAGAACTGAGTATACGACCTCATATGTAACAGAACATCTGGCCAATGCAATGTCATGGGAGTCATGGGGGCCATAGGTATGATAAAGTGAAACTGCTCCTGAGCTTGGGTGACATTAAAAGTGTTTCATCACCAGTATGGCATAAGCACTGGCCAATCAAAATGTAAACGCTGGAGTAGAATCCTGAGGAACTCCTGCTGTACCAGCCAGCACCCTATCCTTGCTGGATCATGGGAGGAGGCACTAGGGTAGAAGAGGAAGTGGGTTGCAGTGATGGACTAGGGGTTAGTGACTACTTACCAAATGATACAGAGACATTTTATATTTTAACAAGCTGCATGGCTCTTCCAGTATATGGAAGTTAAATATCAGTCCTATCCTTGACTCAAGCTTCTCTGGGGCATTGGTTCTCAAAGGGTGACCTAATGACACTTAACAGTTAAGATCCTTTTAGGAGATCCTTAAGCTCTTCCCTTTTCAAAGAATGTGAAGTTAAATATCTTCATATGCTTCAAACAGTGTATAGCAGCAGACTGAATCCTGAAGCAGATGAGCAAATCTTGTCATCCTTTACTGAGCCAGACATTAAAGTGATTTGCAAAAATGTAAAATAGTGCCACTCTTCGTTAAAACATTGCCTTTGCTTTGAAAAATACATTTTTTTTCCTAAAAATATACGAGTTTTGTTAGCATGTGAGGGTTTCTATTTGTCATATTTTAAGTGAACTAATAAGTAATTTTTAAGAGTATAAACGGACCCAGAGACCAAAGTTTGAGACTGCTGCTTTAAGAAATAAAACAAGAACCATAGAACACCAGAGTAGAGGAGCCAAACAGCCCCAGTCCCTTGATCTGATTTGGCTTAACCCTTGACAACTCAGAGTTCCAGTTGTCTCTTGAAAGATTAGTTAATAACATTAAAATATTTCTTTTTCACTTATGCAAAAACATGGTCACTAGCATATACTTACACTTAAAATCTTGCTAATTTAAACTAATTTATGGGTATAAAGTTTTCAGTGTTAGATTTTTTCATAAAGAAATGCATTTCACCAAACTATACTACTAAATCTTATCAAAATGCAGCGTTGAAGAAAACAGCTTTAAATAATACATTAAAATTTTAATTAGTCTATCCATTGTCATGTTTATGGTACTTCTGAAATGCTTAGAAGTTTTGTATCTTACGCATTTCATCAGAAATCCTTTTCACATTATCATTTTTTACTTGACTTTCAAGAGAGAGGAAAAGTAAACATTCGTCTCAGTCTCTGCTATTTCCTCAAATTCTGGAGCAGAAGAATCTTAAGTTACTCTTTTCATTTTACCTAAGACAATAAGAGTTAAAAGGTGTTCCACTGATTTATATACTAAAGCAAACAAACAAGCAAAAATAAACACCCCAAATGATCTCCTTATAAAATTGGGATGCCAACTTTAGTGTAAATGTAAATGAAAAACAAAAACACCCATCAGAAATGAATTCTAAGGAATGTTAATGTTTCAGTCTTGACATTGAATGAAGGAAGGAGACAAAGAAAAATATCCCCTGAGAATCTGACCCACAATCCTTGCTTTGGTTACTGATTTTACTCAAGCAACCAGTGTGATCAGACCGCAAGCAGAGAATGTAGGTAGTGTCCCCAACGTACTAACAAGGAGAAAATGCAAATTGTCTTGTAAGATGCCATTGATTATAAGAGGAGAACCAATTTCAGAATGGTAAAGGAGGGAAAAAGAATGATAACAAAAACTTGTGTCTTAGAACCAATGAAATACAGTAATTAAAATTTACTGATATATAAATATTAATTGTTTCTTATATAGGGCTAATTTGTATTATGTCATACTTTATCAACCATGCTAATAAACTTTAAGTTACTCTGGCAAGTACAGTGCAAGGGGAAATAGAGGCAAAAAATATGGCATGGTGGGCACACAAAATTATTCAACATTTTAGGTGTGTCTATTTCTCATCCCAAAGCCAAGATATATGATAGGCATATTTCTAGTGCATAACATTTCTTTCCTGATCTCTTTCCTCTCAATGTGTCTATACATTTGGAATATATTTTCATTGGTCATAGATAAATTTATTGTGGTCCCTTAATTTTCATAGTTTAACAGGAAAATCTATAGCTCTTAAGTATCAACTTTTGAAAACAAAGATTGGGAATATATTTTTAAGACCTACATCTAAATTATAAGGTGTTCTGTTTCCTAAACTTGATTCCACAATGTTTTCATGCCACAGTACACATGGTATTTATCATGCTCAAAACCAAAAGCCCCAGATTCTCTACACAGTAGTAAGCTGGCAGCTCTAACTCTACATTTCTTCTATGTTTATTGATTTGTTTTGCAAGAAAGTCAGACTCAGGTGAAGTACCTTGCTATAATTGCCATCTATTGTGTAAAGTGATATTACAGGTTCTTCAGGAGACAGAAACTGAAGTTTCAATCATTACTGCTAAGTTACCTAACTGAGTCTTAGGATATTTTGGTTATGTTCTATGATCCAAAGATATCTTTAATCAGCAGGCATTTTACCCAACCAAATTTTAAATGGTTAGATGAGTCTCTCTAGATGTTTGATATGGATGGTGTGTGGTAATGAATGCAATCAGCATCATCTGTCTTCTTGGGGCATAGGGCTACCTGCCACTGTACTAAACTCCACACTAAAGACACTGAATTACACCCCCAACCACCTTCTTTTAAGAACAAAATGTGAACTGACTTTCTAAAGCTGAGAATATTGATACTCTTGCCTTTGTTAGCTTCCAATGGTCAGTGATGATTCTGTTTTCTACGTCTTAATGTAATGAGTTATAGATCATGCAGTACTTAAACATAACCATGCACTTCAGGAGGGGTTTTGAAACCTGCATGGAAACACTCAAAACAGACAAAGGTCTTAGAAACTGAAAAATGGCTAAAGGTTTTGCTGAGAAAAATTCCAGCCTCCTTTCTTTCTTACAACTGTTTTCTCAGTGTTAAAAGTGTAAAATGCTGCATCAAATATAATGCCTCTTAAATGATAAATGGATGAAGTGGTGCTTTAAACAGAAATACTAAATAAAGCTCTTCTGTTGAAATTATGGTCTTGGTGCAAAATGCCACTTATTCAAGTCATTCAAACAACTCCATTCTGTTTCACAAAGAGTGAAAAGATGTCATTAAAGCACAGACACCTTTTCCTTGTCTTCTTACAAAAAATTAACCAAAGGGAATCCATTTCCAAGTGGCACTGGATCCACAAGTTTGCTTTTCTACCAATTCATATTAGGAGAGTAAATGGAGGGTCAACTGTTAAACTCTTTTCCTTCTCTTTCTTGTGAAAAGTACAACCCTGTATGTATCAATTTTTCTTCCACCTTCTTGACAAACAGAAAATGTCATGTTTTATACTGATATATACACAAATAAAACACATACCAACACATTTATGAACATATGGGCATATACATAAATATACATACATGTGGAGGTAGATCATCTCAGTGGTAGGATGAAATGAATCTCAATTTTTGCTTGCCTTTTTCAAAACACAAACATTCAACTCTCTTGATTTCACTGAAAATATTTTCTTAAGTATTCATACCATCATTTTATAACTATTATACAATTACAGCTCAATTCTTTGTGGATAAGTCTTTCAGTGAGTTCCTTTCAGGTTCAAGTTTTGTTCAAGACAGAAGATTTACTGTAGTGCAGAACTGAACTTAATTTTGAAGTCCTAGAGTCCTCTGCAAGTAATTTCGTCCTGAACACATTAGTATAGGTCTGCTCATTTATCCCTTTGAGGGTATTTGGTTTTGCACCAGACCTAATTTCATCATGGCCCCAAATGTTTCCTTTCCACCCTTCTGCTGCCAAATGTCTGAGAAAAAGTTGTTGGTCTGGACTCACCTCTCCTTCCCTGGGCCAAGGCCTCCCATTCTGGGTGTATTTGCTTTGATTCTGTCTCTTCTTTTGTCCTCCATCAGCGAATTTGCACAGTAAAGGCTCACTGGGGGCTGGGAAGATAAGAAACCAATTTTACATCAGCAAATCCCCCTTAAAAATAAGTGATTATTTGAGTCACAGTAGTGCTTTGTAATGCAGATCTTTTGAAGTAACATCTTGCTTCTGGAGAGACATTTGGCCTCCTTTTAGTCTCAACTCTGTTGGCCACTGTTCTAACTAACTGGGTTTCAAAAAAGTACTGGCAGACCATAAAAGAATATAACAAATACTGTTGAAAAAATAATCAGTCGAAGCAGAATGTGAACGCGCCTCAGAAGTAAACAGGCAAGCATCGACCCCTCCTGTTATGTTAGAAATATATTCGTAATTGGAATTTGCATGTGGATGAATATTTCTCCCTCAATACAACTGTGTTTTCACTGTAGAAAATGTAGTATTCAATTTTGGAAAGAGATACTTAGGAGCTTCTTTCTAAAAAGGAAGATATTTTGCTAATTGCAATCAAATTAGCTTTGTTTTTATATTTATCCTCTGTAATTTCAAAAAGAGTGGAAGTTGATCCTTCACCCAATCCTTTTCACTCCAATTTCCTAGTAAAATCTAGTCAGAATACCAGGGGAACAATTATTAAAATATTAAGAGAACCCACATGAGGAAATGTAGCCAAAAGATATGGCTATAACTCGTGAATCACTGACTGATTGTGGTGGTCCCCCCGTGTGACTCAAATAAACTTATTTTCTAAGGAAAGTGACCAAAACTAAAGCATGTCAGAACCTCTCTTCCAACAATGACATTGCAAAATGACTGTCTTTTAAAACCCAACAGGGCAAAATTATTCTCTGAGAATTGATGGTCCCATCCACATTCCTCCACTTGACTGGAAAATAGCTGCCTACTATTACCACAAATATATTTTAAATGAATGAATATGGCCTGACAAACTTAGTCAATACATTAATATGGTTGAGGGGAACTAATCTGTTAGTTTCTTGGCTTGAATAAACCAAATGTTAATATTTCAATTTATAGTTTAAAAACCAAAATGAACCCCCTCCTCCTCCCACTCCCTGGGACAATGTGTTCTGATCTAGATTAACTGTACTAATGGCCCTAATTCTTTACCCTTCCCAGAGTCCTTGCCCTTTGCCATGTAATTTTGTGGAGCCCTTTCACTCTCACTCTTGGTCTGACCCCATGTGAATTGCTTTGGCCAATGGGCTGTGAGCAAATAAGACAGAAGGAGAAGTTTAAAATGGGTTTAAACATTGGGGCTTCCTTTTTTTGCTTCTTTGCATGGCTCTGTAAACATGCCCATGCTAGTTTGCTGGAGGATGAGATGAAAATGAAGACTGGACACCCCTTAAACCCAGCCAAGGCCATACCAGACCATCTAAGGCCAGCCAGCACCCAGGCAGGAGAGTGAGCGCCTCCAAGATCAGCAGGGGTGCAGAGCTAACTTGCAGGTGACCATAGGAAAAATGTATAAGCCCAGGTGATATCAATCAAGGCCACTGCACAAATGTATGAGCTAAAGAAATCTTTATTGTTTCATGCTACGAAGATTTTGTAGTTAATATGCGGCATTATTGTCTTAATAGATAACAGAATCTCCCCCAACATCCCTCCTTCCTCATTTCCACTGCCAGCTAGATTGCTTGCATTTACCCACCTGGATAAAGCTAAAAAATACTATGGAATTCATGAGACTTCTAATTGTTTCCAAAATCAATAGTAGAAAAAGAATAAAGGCAAACAAGTATCTATTAATAAATATTTGGAAATCATTTGAGTCTAAGGGGCAGGAATATTTTGCCCAATCCTTTTACCTTATTCTTTATTAGCAGCAGATCTCTCAGTATTGGAGGAAATGACTCAAAGAGACAGGGGTCACCACTGACCAAGAGAAATGAAAAATAAAGTGCCATCGAAATCATTTGAGTCTAAGGGGCAGGAATATTTTGCCCAATCCTTTTACCTTATTCTTTATTAGCAGCAGATCTCTCAGTATTGGAAGAAATGACTCAAAGAGACAGGGGTCACCACTGACCAAGAGAAATGAAAAATAAAGTGCCATCCCTGCCCTCTACAGAGCACACTGCTCTGTACATAGACAGCACTCAATAAATATCATTGCCTCACTGAACACAAGCGCTTTTCAGCTGTCTGCTCTGATTAGCCTCTGATTTCGTTGACTTCAGTGAAGCCACAAAAATCACACAAGGGAAACACTGCATCATGGAAAGTGTGTAGATAGTTGTTGCCTTTACAGTAGAAGTAGAATAAATTCTTATTCCAGATGAAAAACCTAAATGCAGTCACTGGATCCCAACGTTCTATGAGTTGGTAAATTTCCTGTGAGATTTCAAAACTAAATATTTATATAACATGTAAAATCATTCCTCTCTATAGTTTCTCTCACTATTTTAAAGATTCAAGGTACATCAGTCCATTAAAATGAAATGGTCATGCTAACGTGAGTTCATCATTGTCAGTAGTACACATTTCTCACAAAAAGCAAACAAATCTAGAAGCACCTTACATATCCTGCGGTAAATAAATTGGTTCCCATTTCTTGTGAGGAGAGGTGTCAGCCTTGTGTACCCTTGTTAGGTAAAAAGTTTTTCTAGCAACTAAATTCACATAAGCACACAACACACACAGAAACTTCTTTTGTTTTGTTTTTAACAGCTTTATTTAGTTGACTGACATACAATTAATTGCACATATTTATAGTACACAATTTGTAAGTTTTGACATATATACATATACACCCATACAAGGGTACTTCAAAATGTTTGTGTAAAAATTGAACTAAAAGATAATATGCATCTTTCCAGTAAATTTTTGAAGACCCCTCATATATATATGAGTACATACCCATGCGATCATCATCACTGTCAGGATAATAAACATATCAATCACTCCTAAATGTCAGAAGCTTCTTTCTACTCAAAGATTACAATCTTAAGGCCTCTGTTCTTCAGCCTATGTCATATTTTTATTTAAAATGAGACCAACTTGCTTATTCTTTTCCTAAAGTTTTTCCTTATAATTTCTAGAATTTTATTCTGCCCTGTGGGTGTAACAATGCCTTGACTGGGGGCTACAGAAAATCCTGGGTTCCTTTTCCAAGTTGTAAATGATAATCCCGGTTCAAATTATTGAAATTCTAACTTTTATACTTGGGTGCAGTGGATTGACTGAATTGTATCCCCCAAAGTCCATGTATTGAAGCTTAATCCCAATTGTAACTGTGGAGGGTAGGAAATCCTATTATGGTAATTGAAAGGTGGGCCTTGAAGAGGTGATTAGATTCTGAGGAACATACCCTAATTAATGGATTAATAATGGTGGTTGTGGGCATGGTTCTGAGAGCTTTAAAAGCAAAGCATGTGAGAGTCTCTCTCTACTCTCTCTCTCTCTCTCTCTCTCTCTCTCTCTCTCTCTCTCTCCTCTGCCATTTCTGCATATGAGCATATGAGATCCCTGGTCAGTGTTGCTGCCACCAAAGCCTTCACCAGATGTGTCCCATGGACTTTGCACTGCCCAGTCTCTGATACTGTAAGCAATAAATGTCCTTTTCTTTATAAATCACCCAGTGTCAGGTATTTTGCTATAAGCCACACAAATGGACTAATACACCAGGTAACGGCTTTCATGAGTCATGCTTTCCACTCTCTGAAGCAGGATTCTCTTTATTGTCCATTAATACTGATTCTTTTAAGGTACATAGGATAGTCTCTGGTTCTAATAGTCTAGAATATAATAATGACTTGTCTTTAGGTAGTTCATGTTTCTTGCAGTTTTAACACATACTTTGGGTGTATTTAATTGTTAGGTTTACCAGTCTGCTTCCTGGGTTTGAGGTCTGCCTCCCCGACTTACTAGCTACAAGATAGCAGGCACTTTTTTTTCTTTATTAACATTTCCGTGACCCATTTTTCTCATGTATAAGATGGGGATGATAATGTTAAATACCATATAGAGTTGTAAAGATTACAAAAATTAATGCACATAAAGGGCTTAAAGGAGTATTTGGTGCATAAATAAATACTGAATCCATGTTAGCTGCAATGATCATTATAGTTTAGCATCTCTGATAGCCACTTCTCTGTTATCAGCTGTGAAACCTGATTACTTCTCAGCGTCAGAGAGTTCAGAGTGCTTAATCAACTGGGCTTCATTTTCATCAGCTCTGTTTCATTTTAATTCCACGGAGGGTTCAGCAACAGAATTTGCAACTGTACTCCAAGAACAACGAGAAGATGCATTCATGGAGAGGATCTGTGTTTTTCCAAAATGGTTCTTGTTTGACTATGGCTTGCCATGAGACCATCTGGCCACTACAGCACAAGGTCTCTCTTCTGAGTCATCACCAGAATTTTGGCTCCCATTATCTCCTGAAAGTGATGCAGGTCATGCTACCTTAATGTGTTAACCTGCAATTGTCTACAATGAATGCTCCCTGTTCCTTTTTTTGTTTTTAATTTGCATTATTGTTACAACTATTGTTATTTTGTCACTCAATTGCAAGAGTTCTATTAGCAGTTTTAATCTATCAAAATTATATTTTACTATTAGGAAAAGTATCAGGCCATCTACATAGCAATAGATTTCACTAGGGTTTCCCTTTTTCAGATCCCATATTAAAAATGTTAAATAATAACTGTTCTAGAGCTGAGTTTCAGAAAATCTTTCTTTTTTAAAAGAGGTATTCTATACCTTGTGTTTGCTCTACCTAAAACAGTTACAAGTCTATAATTACATGTCTAAAAGAGCAAGGTTTTCCAATTTTCTTATTAAAATATATGTATCAAATATATGTACATATACTATGTACATTTATTTAGACATGGGAATTGTATATATATACAAATAGATAAATACACACAAGCACATACACATATGTACATACATATACATATTTAAAAACCTTTTTTGTAGAACCTTGGAAGCTATAGAATCAGGGGAGTAGTTTTGGCAGAAAAAGAAAAGGCCCTGAGTGAATTATTTACCCTATAATTTCTTCTACCCACTGGAATAAAAA